AAAATTAATATTAAAAGAAGATAGATATACAAACTGTGACATCCCACATCGACCAGGGGAGTGATCCTTATATGTATATTCTCATCCCTACTTAGCATGAGGCCTTTTGGGAGCTCACTGACTTCGGGTTCCATGGGAACTCCGAAGTTAAGCGAGTAGTGCGCGAGAGCATTTACAGGATGTGTGACTCATTGGGAAGTTCTCATGTGAGTTCCCAAAAACAAAACCGTGAGGGCGTGGTCGGGGCCCAAAGCGGACAATATCGTGCTACGATGGAGTCGGGCCCGGGAAGTGATCCCACCTGGACCGGGATTTGACAATTTGGTATCAGAACCTAATCCTGGTCGTGGTGTGCCAACGAGGACGTCGGGCCCCTAAGGGGCTTGGATTGTGACATCCCACATCGCCCAGGGGAGTGATCCTTATATGTATATTCCCATCCCTACCTAGCATGAGGCCTTTTGGGAGCTCACTAGCTTCGAGTTCCATGGGAACTCCGAAGTTAAGCGAGCAGCGCGCGAGAGCATTTCCAGGATAGGTGACTCATCGGGAAGTTCTCGTGTGAGTTCCCAAAAACAAAACCGTGAGGGCGTGGTCGGGGTCCAAAGAAGACAATATCATGCTACGGTGGAGTCGGGCTCAGGAAGTGGTCCCGCCCGGGTCGGGATGTGACACAAACACTACGTAAATATTACACGTCTCATGTTTTCAGATGCAAATGTACTAAATTTCACAGTCAAGAGTCTAAGATTGAGAGTGAAGAACAATAAAACTTGATGATCAAAAGAGTAAAGAACAATAAAATTTGATTAACGAGTTTAATAAATTCAACGCCAATTGTTTATCTTGCGTTTTTTTTTCTTTCTAAAATCAACATCAAACTAACAAATCGAATATTAAAATAATTCATTAAATAATGAATTATTGAAAAAGCAAAATATAAATTCAAAGTTGTGATTACCTTTAAGTATAATCTTTAAGATCATGTGATAGCTGATTTAAACATTCGTTAGGAATTAAGATATTGGGAAGTTGAAATATAAAAAAAAAGATTCAAAGGGACTTGAATTTTATAACTTTCTATGCATTTGGATGGATGGATAGTGAGTCAATTTGAAAAAAAAGAAAAAACTAGTAACTAAAAAGGTAGCTTCATGTTTTGAAGGAAGCCAAACATTTCCACTGAACCAACAAATGAGTTATAATATTTTTTTTTTGACTTTTCCTGTATTAAAATGTTATTTATAAAATATATAAAACTTTTGCTAACTCACTTCGGATTCCATGGGAACTCCGAAGTTAAGCGAGTAGTGCACGAAAGCATTCCCATGGTGGGTGACTTATCAGGAAGTTCTCGTGTGAGTTCCCAAAAACAAAACCGTGAGGGCGTGGTCAGGGCCCAAAGCGGACAATATCGTGTTACGGTGGAATCGGGCCCGGGAAGTGGTCTCGCACGGGCCGGGATCTGACACAAACACTACGTAAATATTACACGTCTCACGTTTTCAGATGCAAATGTACTAAATTTCGCAGTCAAGAGTCTAAGATTGAGAGTGAAGAACAATAAAACTTGATGATCAAGAGAGTAAAGAACAATAAAATTTGATTAACGAGTTTAATAAATTCAACGCCAATTGTTTATGTTGCGTTTTTTTCTAATAACAACATCAAACTAACAAATCGAATATTAAAATAATTCATTAAATAATAAATTATTGAAAAAACAAAATATAAATTCAAAGTTGTGATTATCTTTAAGTACGATCTTCAAGATCATGTGATAGCTGATTTAAACATTCAATAGGAATTAAGATATTGGGAAGTTGAAATATAAAAAAAAGATTCCAAAGGGACTTGAATTTTATAACTTTCTATGCCTTTGGATAGATGGATGGTGAGTAAATTTGAAAAATAAGAAAAAATTAGTAACTAAAAAGGTAGCTTCATGTTTTGAAGGAAGCCAAACATTTTCACTGAACCAACAAATGAGTTATGATATATTTTTTTTGACTTTTCCTGTATTAAAATGTTGTTTATAAAATATATAAAGCTTTTGGGATCCCTAGACGAACGCTTACATGGATTACCTTTAGGGCCGTCATTATCAAACAAAAACAGTAAACGATGCATGACCTTTTTTTTTTTTTTTTTTTTTTTTAATTTTACTATTATTAAAGGGAAGAGGGAATTCAAAACTATTAAAATAATTTTGAGTTAGAGGAGCTTAGAACCTTGACACATAAATAGAAATTTAGCACCTTATTTACAAGAATATTAAATCATATGCAACCTATGCATGGATCACCTTACAGCAGAAAAGCAATGGCGTAAACGCATAACTAAACACGTTATCATGTTTTATTTTCTTTGCTAATTAAATAATTTTCAATTTGCAGAGATAGTAAGTAAAAGATTACCTTTCATAAAAATATAGGATAGGCAGTTTTGACTATTTATTTAATTGATTTGGATCTCATCCGGATTCAAATTGTGGGGATTCTAGAGATCCTCACATCTTAGTCATTCATTATATATCGTGTGATTAGAAATCATTTAACTTTTAAACATAAATAGTACCTGACGAAAACTAGTCGCACGATGTACAATGAATGATTAAAATATGAGGATTCCTAGGATTTCCACAAAGAGAATCCGGAGAGGATTCTCATCCTTATTTAATACTACTTGCATTCCTGTTAACATAAAAAAAAAAATAATAATAATCATATTAAGTGTGAACCTATCATTTCTATTTTTTGGACCCGCAAATTTTAATATTATTAAAGTTTAGGGTTGAAGTTTGTTTAATTAGTGGATTTTGATATATTTTGAAATGTTATTCATACCATGTTTTTGTACCACATTTTCATATTACCTTAGGTGATGTGGATAGTCACATCATTTGAAAAATTTACAAAACCCAAGGAAAGGAAGGAGAAAGACTCCTCGTATACCACAATCATCATTTAATTAACTAGTTTTTCTTAATTATTAGTTTATTAAATAATGAAGTAATTTAAAAATCTGATTAATTCAAATGATATGGTTGTCCACATCAATTGTCACCTAAGGTGGAATGAAAAAGGGGTATAAAAACATAGTATGAATAACATTACTGTCACATCCCTGCCCGGGCGGGACCACTTTCTGGGCCCGACTCCACCGTAGCACGATATTGTCTGCTTTGGGCTCCCAGCACACCCTCACAGTTTTGTTTATGAGAACTCACACGAGAACTTCCCGATGGGTCACCCATCATGGGAATGCTCTCGCGCGCTACTCGCTTAACTTCGAAGTTCCAACAAAACCCGAAGCCAATGAGCTCCCAAAAGGCCTCGTGCTAGGTAGAGATGGAATACATAAATAAGGATCACTCCCCTGGGCGATGTGGGATCTTACAATCCACCCCCCTTAAGGGCCTGACGTCCTTGTCGGCACACTACGGCCAGGGTTAGGCTTTAATACCAAATTGTCACATCCCGGCCCGGACGAGACCATTTCCCAGGCTCGACTCCACCGTAGCACGATATTGTCCGCTTTGGACCCCCAGCACACCCTCACGGTTTTGTTTCTGGGAACTCACACGAGAACTTCCCAGTGTGTCACCTATCATGGGAGTGCTCTCGCGCGTTACTTGTTTAACTTCGGAGTTCCAACGAAACCCGAAGCCAGTGAACTCCCAAAAGGCCTCGTGCTAGGTAGAGATGAGAATACACATATAAGGATCACTCCCCTGGGCGATGTGGGATCTTACAATCCACCCCCCTTAAGGACCTGACATCCTCGTCAGCACACCACGGCCAAGGTTAGGCTCTGATACCAAATTGTCACATCCCGGCCCGGACGAGACCACTTCCCGGGCCCGACTCCACCGTAGCATGATATTGTCCGCTTTGGGCCCCCAGCACACCCTCACGGTTTTGTTTCTGGGAACTCACACGAGAACTTCCAAGTGTGTCACCCATCATGGGAGTGATCTCGCGCGTTACTCGTTTAACTTCGGAATTCCAATGAAACTCGAAGTCAGTGAACTCCCAAAATGCCTTGTGCTAGGTAGAGATGAGAATACATATATAAGGATCACTCCCCTAGGCGATGTGGGATCTTACAATTACTCAGAAGAAAATACACATGCATTGAACTTTTATCTTGTTTTTTTTAACAAACTTTTATCTTGTTTTTTATTCCTTTTGTATTTTGCACAATATCTCATTTTGCTCTCTAAATTCTCTTATGGGATAATGACAATTTTAAAAACTGGGCGATTTCATGCCAAGGTGATCTTTGGGGTTTTAGATTATACAATTGTGAAAACGAGCTCAACATATTTAAAAGAATTGAATTAATCCATGCCACATCAACGAAACTAATGTATCATTTAACTCAATTGATGGAATGAGATAAAGTAAAACACAAAATATGAGTATTGAAGGTAAATAGCGACAAGTACAACATACGATTAATAATAAATTTTATATAGAGTACTCGGGATGTAATATAAACCCTTTAATTTCTTAAGTACTAAGAACTGCTACTAAATTAAATATAATAATAATAATAAATTATATATATATATATATATATTTACACAAATGGTACCGACTCTATTGAAGTCTCTTCAGAGCTAAGTTATTTACTGGGAAAATGCATGTCTTAATATTTTTACATTGAGTAATACTCAAATCTAAACGTGTTCTAGTAAACCGCGGGAGTTCCCTTTTCTTTTAGTTCGCCAGCCTGTAAACTGTGGTTGGACACAGTCAAAATGATGTTATTGGTTGTTTTGCTTGAAGAACCAGGTTTCTGGCTTTGTTCATATCTTTATGCTAGCATTCTCTGATGAGTCACCGATTTGATCAAACTGTTATTGGAGATATTAATATATACCAAAGTCATTTTATATGCCTGTATGTTCAAAATTTCAAAGTCCTTATCAAAATAAGTGCAAATTTGTTTGCTAATTCGTCACGCAAGTGGGGAAAAAATGGGTTAGCAAATGCCTTCCAAATGCCTATATAAACATAGCATCTATAGACCACTGAGATATCAGAAGAGTAATATAATATCTCCATAACAATAGCTGATTCTCAGACTTCTCTTTTCCCCCTCGAGATAGCTCTTTTAATTTGTTCCCCAAATGGCACGGTTGGCCTTTGTGCTAGCTTGTGCTCTAGCTCTATTGGCTTCCTCAGTAGCCTCTGGTGCAATTGTTGAGCACTCGTTCAGTGTAAGTCTTGCCTCAATTTTGGTAACACTCGTTAATGTTTCTAGAATGGCTAAAAGCAATACATCTGATTCAATTTAACAAAAATAATTTAAGTACTTTTGGGTCATTGAAGAGGTTTTCAGAGACAATTTCGAAGAGTCCTTTGGGAATCTTATTTTCTCATGCATATTTCCTCACCAAATGTTTGAATGTTTCCTTTGAATAATAGTAGTCATGACACTTTTTTTTCATTATTTTCAGGTGAACAACCTGACTGTTACCCGATTGTGCCAAAATCAATCGATTACTGCAGTGAATGAGAGTTATCCTGGACCAACCATATATGCACGAGATGGAGACACAGTTATCATCCATGTTTTAAATAAGTCGCCCTATAACATTAGTATTCACTGGTAAACACAAATTATCTAAAACCATTTAACAACCCCTAAGGGGAATGTTGAGTTATGTTTTGTTCACATTGTATAGTTTCTTTCTTAATGTAGGCATGGAGTCTTTCAGCTTCTGAGTGCATGGGCAGATGGGCCAACATACGTAACTCAATGTCCTATACCCCCCGGACAAAGCTACACTTACAAATTTAATATCACTGGACAAGAAGGCACCCTTTGGTGGCATGCCCACATTTCGTGGCTCCGTGCAACTGTCCACGGAGCGCTTATAATACACCCAAAAGCCGGTCGATCCTTCCCCTTTCCCAAGCCCGCCAAAGAATTTCCCATCATATTAGGTAATTAACGATTAAACTATACCATTCAACTTGTTTAACGTTAATCTTAATACGTACTTCAAATGGTAAATTTGATGACTAATTATATATTAACTGTTTGATGGAATTGCAGGAGATTGGTACAATGGCAATGTGGTCGACATTGAGCGAGAAGGCCTATCCAAAGGAATAGCTCCTAACCTTTCAAATGCTTACACCATCAATGGACTTCCCGGCAATCTCTACGGCTGCTCCTCAAATCGTATGTAACCATGCATGCATGCATACTCATAAATTTATTAATTTAGTTTATATGTCATTTTTACATGGTGAATATTAACAAATTGACATCAAATTATCAGAAACATATCAACTCAGAGTGGTGAGAGGAAAGACTTACCTGCTACGCCTAATCAATGCTGCACTAAATACCCAGCTCTTCTTCAAGATAGCCAACCACAACATGACAGTTGTTGCCATCGACGCCGCTTACACGACTCCTTATGTCACAGACGTGGTGGTTATTGCACCCGGTCAGACCACCGACGTTCTCGTCAAATTCAATCAACTTAATGGATCTTATTACATGGCCGCCACTCCCTACGCTAGTGCTGACGATATCGTCGCCTTTGATAACTCAACAACCAGAGGCATCATCGTCTACAAGGGCTACAAGTCATCAACCCCCATTATGCCCCCCATGCCCAACCCTCACGACACGCCGTTGGCCAACAAGTTCTTCACCAATCTCACCGGCCTCCCTGATGGGCCCCATTGGGTCCCGGTCCCACGCAAAGTGGATGAGCACATGTTCGTGACAATCGGTGTTAACTTGGCGATGTGTCCCGAAAATGCCACGTGTCAAGGTTTATTCAATGACCGATTGTCCGCGAGCATGAACAACCAATCATTCATGGTCCAGACCAATACATCCATGCTGGAAGCACATTTTAACAATGCGAGCAGGGTTTATACCAGAGATTTTCCTAGCGAGCCTCCGGTCAAGTTTGACTACACAGACACGAACCTTAGCCTCGACCTATCCCTGATATTTGCGCCAAAATCAACCAAGGTCAAGACGCTAAAGTTCAATTCGACAGTACAATTGGTGTTTCAGAACACAGCGTTTTTGGTCTTCGAGAACCACCCGATGCATCTGCATGGCTTCAATTTCCATGTATTGGCACAAGGGTTTGGAAATTATGACCCAATTAATGACCCCAAAAAATTTAACTTCGTTAATCCGCAAGTACGCAACACAATTGGTGTGCCGGTCGGAGGATGGGCTGTGATCAGGTTTCAAGCAAATAATCCTGGTTAGTTTTCTTAATCATCTCATTAATTAAGTTTCTTTGTATTTTAAATATGTTATAAATAATTAAGTTTTGATTATTTGTTTTAAATTATTGTTTCAGGTATCTGGTACCTGCATTGTCATTTAGACGTTCATTTGCCGTGGGGGCTAGCCATGGCTTTTGAGGTTGAAAATGGAGGGACGCCAGAATCTACTTTGCCTCCACCACCACTTGATCTACCCAAATGTTAGAAGTTGTTTGGAAGATACCTCAAAATATTGTTTCATTTTGTATTCTTGAAATTACAATAACGAGGTCAATTTCATTCATTTGGTTACAAGTGAATCACCTTGTAATAAACCTTGTGACAAAATGTATTGTATAAGTTGGTCATCATTGTTTGACTAAAATCAAAATAAATTATAAAATATTAATAATTGAGGTGTCTGTTAGGTTACAGTAATGTTATTTTTACCATATTTTTATATCACATTTATATACTAACTTATGTGGCATCTGATATGAACAGACACATCATTTAAATTAATCAGAATTCTATTTAAATTAAAAACCATTTAATAAACCAATAATTAAAAAAAAAAAGTTGAAATTAAATGGTGATTGTGGCATACAGGAGTCCTCTTCCTTTCCCGTTTAATCCTGCTTCTTCTCTCATTTCTTCTTCCATGCCAGTTCTTTCACGTCATATTTTTTTCACCCAGTTTTTTTTCCTTCCCCGTTTAATCCTGCTTCTTCTCCCATTTCTTCTTCCACGCTAGTTCTTTCATGTCATTTTTTTTTCACCCAGTTTTTTTCACATTAGTGTGGACTACCAATGATCGGATTTTCAGGGTTTGGCTCGGTGGCGTTGAGCTTCTCAGGAGCTACACGGCTGAGTCAACGCAGAATGGGATTGTTTGGAGTGTCAAGAAGGACGTCACAAGGTACTATTCTTTGCTTCAGAACAATCAAATTATCTTGGGAATTTGGTAGATAAAACATGCACAGGGATTTACCATGTGAATATTAGCATCCATTTTTACCCTGCTGAGAAAAATTTAAATTATAACTATGAGCAAAATTTGGGAAATTTGGATTCTGGGTACCAGTATTGGGCGGATTTGATCTTGCCCATTTCGAGAAATCTGCCTTTGAATGATGGGTTGTGGTTTGAAATCCATTATTCGACCGATACACAGTTGAAGGAATTTAAGATTCCACAGAATGCTTATAGGGCTGTGTTGGAGGTATATGTTTCATTTCATGAGAATGATGAGTTTTGGTATTCAAATGCTCCGAATGAGTACATTGCTGTAAACAATCTTAGAGGTACACCTGGAAACGGGCCTTTTAGGGAGGTTGTGGTGAGTTTAGATGGTAAGGTTGTTGGTGCAATCTGGCTTTTTACTGTGATTTCACTGGATGGTTCAATCCCCTCCTGTGGAGTCCAATCACTGTGAATGGCTCGTACAATCTCCCTTCTTATGATATTGAAATCACGTCCTTTTTAGGGAAGATATTGGATGGGAAGAGCCACAAGTTTGGTTTTAGTGTCACAAATGCGTTGAATGTTTGGTGTGTTGACGCGAATTTGCATCTTTGGTTGGACAAGCGGAGCACAAAAACTGAAGGAGGGCTTTCGGAGCATAGTAGCTTGCCCCTTGTTGTTTCATTGGTTTTGGATTTCAAGGGTTTAAATGGCACATTTTTGACAAGGGTCGGCAGGTCTGTGTCATCGACTGGATGGGTGAAGTCCTCCTATGGGAATATCACAACTGATGCAACTCAAGACCTCCATTATAGTAATACAATGGTCATCAAGAATGATGGCAATACGCAGATAGTGAATCAGACAATCCATTTCAACGACACAGTTCATATCAGGCCGCCATCCTCCATTATCCACTCAATGTCATCAAACAAAAAATTTCCTCTTTACTTGTACATTGACTTCTTGGAACAAGCAAAAGAAACATATAAGTACATTAGAAATGTCGAATTGGGATTTCTGTTATGCATAGTATATGTCGACCGTCTGCCTTGGCTTAGGTGGTAACTAGAAAATGTGCCCACGCTTCGTTGCAGGGATTGAATGTGTTAGTTGCAACATAACAAAGCTTCATCCAATACTTTTGAATATTTTGACTAATTGATTGAAAAGAAAACAGAACAAATATGGCTCCAAATGTCTTGACTCTTGTAAATATGCCATCTGTTTACTGAAGAACTGTCGAGCTCCTGAGGAGACTACATTACCATTTGTACAATCCTAAAGACACGAATATGAATTGCAAGCACAATGTAAATCACTCCGCTTTCTATACAACAAAAATTAGAAGAGTAACATGTCTGCATACTGGCTGCTGTTACAAAATATTTGAAATGCATTGAACTCTATGTTTAGAAGAAATATGATCTAAATCCACAAAAACTCAAACTGCATAAAGAAATTGCTTTCATTTTTTGCTTCCATTGCTTAGTTGAGCTCCTGGTCATCATTTCCTCTTGAAGTAGACCTTTGCATATTGTACATACTATAACCTCCATTCCAGTATGTGCATTGTTGACCCTAAATAAAGAGAAAGAAAAAACCCCATAAGAACTACAGATATAGCATTATACTCTATGATGTAAATAAATATTTAATTAATAACAACAACAAAATTATATGCAACCTCTCAATGTTTACCTGGACATAATTTCCATGCATAATAGGATAACTTATATTTCCAATCTCAGACTCTTTGTACAACGGGTTTGGATGACCTCCTTGACTGAGCCCCAATAACAAAGCCATGTTTTCCTACAATAGGTAATATTTGTTCAATAGCTAACACAAAAGCAATTCAAATATATCAATAAGACAAAATGCACAACTTACATTAGTAAGGGGGAAAATAGGATATTGGTTGGCAAGCATGCAAATTTGAACTCCTTGTGTAAGATGAGAATGCTAAATCCCAAAGAATAAAAGTAATTACAATTACAAAGAGTAAGGAATGGCAATTCTAATTGCTAAACCCGATAACCGTGGATAACCGTACAAATGGATTAGATTTGGATATGAAAATTCGGGTATGGTATGGATATGAGGAAAAACCATGAACTTTATTCGGTTATGGATTTGGATATGATTATAGGGGTCCACAATCTGTATCCGTCCCTGAATCCGACCCATTATATATATATATATATATACACACACTTGATATATAATATAATTTTATTCAATTTACCGAACCCTCCTTATACTAATTCATTATGCATGCATCAACTTATCAGTTATATAAAACAAATATGTTTGTTACGTGTGTTCCTTCCTCATCTGTATTGTCCTTATGAGATGTAATATTTTTCTGTCGTTTTTGTCTTCTTTTGATTCGTACAGGTTGCATTAGGCAAATCCAACTCATAAGTGATCGCGAATAGCACCATTATTCACATGATTGTAGCATTAAAGTGTATATTATGATTACACCTAGTCCTGTCGTACATGTCGCATTAGGCGACTCCGACTCGAGTGCTAGCATAGGTTGATGAGCATCATTTCAGTCGTACAGGTCGTGTTAGGCGACTCCAACTTGTGTGCTAGCATAGATTGTTTGAGCACCTGATTTTACTTATATTACTGTGAAATTTTGTGATTTTGGATATCCTGCCCTTAGTTACGAGATATTGTGTCGTAATGAATTCTTGAGATTTTGCAGGCTACGGTAAGTATTTTTATACTATACATAGTAAGTATATTTTGGAAACTATACTTGTTTTACGGCGAGGGGTTACAATGTTTTCAAAAACGTTTTTATAAAACTTTATTTCAGACCCACTCACCCTTATTTTTCGCCTCTCCAGGTTTTAGCTGCTAAACTTTTGTATCGACGAGGATTCTTAGAAAATCTCAGTATAGGTGGCTACCTTTGAGGGTATAATCCTTATCCTACCTTACTGTACTTTACTTATGTTTTGTCATCACGTGTGAAATGGGTTCATTTCCACTTACAACGCACTCTTATATTTAGGCACTTTTAGGTTTAAATTTATTCACATTTCCACATCACTACACTTTATGACTTCATCACCCTCCTGGTGTCAGCTAACACAGCTCGATTCGGAGTCCAGGTGGACATTCCGGGTCGGGGTGTGTAGCAAAACTAGCCCTTTATCCCATCAAAATAAAAAATAAAAAAACATTCACCTCTATAAAATATACTTCAATAAATGTTTACTTATCATGAGAAGGAATAATGATATGAAGGATTAGAGATGAGATAAACATCCCCTATCTTGATAATCTCATTACCTTGATTTTCCGGCACGAGATACCTTCACTTTTTTTTTTTTTTTTTTTTTTTTTTTTTTTAAATTCCTTACTTATTAGTAAACAGATTAATGAGAATGTTGACAAAAAAAAAAATGATGAGAATCATAATCGTTTTTTTCAAATTGTTAATTTTAAATAAACAGAATCATATTCATTCATTCTTTCACTCGTTATAATTGGGTAAAAGAATCAAGATAGAGATTAGGGTGGAGGAGGTACTGTGTACCAGTGGAAGGACTTCATGGGCTCAACGAGGTTGACCAGGTTGGCATAGGATTCGATGAGTTGCTCGATCTGGGTCTCTGAAGTTCCTTCTTTGAACTTTGCCATCAGAACATTCTTTAACTCTCCTCCCTTTGCTTCCTCCATCTCCCAAACTTCTCTGATCATTTGTTTTGATCTAATCCTTTTTCAACTCACCATTCCTGCTACAATTTAACTTTGTTTTTTGTCTCCTCCAAATAAAAAATAAAATAGATTTTGTTTTGGTCTGCTTGTATGTATATTAAATGCATCAACTTAATAATTTAAGAGCACTTCGTACTGTAAAATTTGATGTGACAAATGTTTGATTGATATTAATATGAACGTTATTTTACTATTAAGTAAGACATTGACCTGGTTCATAAGGTCTAATTAGGCCTAATCCTATTTAGGCACAAACTTGACATTGTGCCATTGGCTCCGCTGGGGAAAAATTTCTAGGTACGCCACTTGACTACACGATGTTCTTACGTTGTGAAGGTGTCATGAAATACATGCATTCCCAACTTAAATTACACTCATCTTTCAACATTTAAATGCATGTTTTTTTTTTTAAAAATATTATTATTATTATTATTAAGGGGTAGTGCATGGTTTAAAATTATTACAATAATTAAGGTAATTGAAAAATTTTGAACCCAAGATGCATGTGTAGAACCCAACATCTTATTCACAAGAGATTTTTTTAATGTGTCAGTAACATAGATACACCAAATGTCACAATACAAGTGATTGGATACTTAAAAAAAAAAAAAAATTAACACTTGTATTATGAGACTTTATGTACTGTTTATGTTCTCGGCATGCTGAAAATTGTCTCCTGTCTATTGAACTACCTGTATTTAAACTCGTGAAACTCCAACGTGTAACCGTGCCAGAATGACATTTAGTCCACTTATTCAAATTTTACCTGTATTAATGTATCCAATTACTACAATGTTAACAATTGGCTGTACACACCGACTCTCACCAAAATGCTTGACTGCATTTAATTACGAATTACCAATTTGCAAAAACTGCCGCTTTGCTTTTAAATTACAAGACAAAATTAGACCTCACGTGAAGAATCAGTATTTTTCATATTTTTCTTACTCACCAAGGAAACGTTACCTCCCATTAATCACTATATAAACAACTCACACTTTCAACACTTTAGAAACCCTCAAAGAAATGAGAAAAATGTGTTCTTCAGTTTGTAACCCTAGCTCCATTTGCATTCTGCTAATCTCTTTCTTGATCATGACTCCTTCTCAGGCATTTGATCTGAATTCTATTTGCAAACAATCCATGAACCCGTCATTCTGTTCTCTGCTCTTAAGTTCGAATCCCCGCGTGACTGAGGCACTTCTTCGCAGCCTGGCCGGTGTCACCGTAGATTTGGGATATTCCAATACTACAGCCACTAGAGATCACATAGTAAAGTGGAAGAACCGGACGGACAATCCGGCGTTGCGGCTGAGGTACACATCTTGTGCCGGAAATTACAACGAGGCCGTTGCAAATTTCAAGGAGGCCAAGGAGAAAGCGAAGGTTGGTGACTACAATGGTGTGAGAAATGCAGCAGCTGGTGCCTTGGGAGAGTTCAATGGGTGTTCAGAGAACTTTAAGCAGCCACCATCTGAACCAACAAGTCTCTGGCAAGATACTAAGGATTTGCTAAATCTTTCTAGTATTATATTAATTGTTTCTAATACTTTGCTTCACAAATGATTTATGTTTCCTTTGATCTCATGGATGTCGAGTTCGGTTACTTTTAATGAAAGAATTCTCTATATGTCTTGTTTTTACTTATAGACTTTCAATTTGAGTTGTGTATTGAACAGTACTGTACATCTAAGAATCTCTTCTTTTTTATTAGTGAAAACGATCCGATTCCCTCACCATAAAACACAAAAATAGAAGATTAAACTTTCGGATTCATGGAAAAAGACTTTGATTTACAGTCAAGTGAAACATAAGACAATCAGAATTCAGATCCTATCTTACCATGGGACGAATAATGTACTTCTTCGGCGTTGGTGGCTGATAAACGCTCTATCAAAATTTCAAAAGTTACTCGGAAACCAACTCCTCAAGGGCAATGTTTGGTGCTTAGAATTGCATTAGATAACTCACAGGATTCAAGGTATGTGTTAAAGTAAGAAAGGACGGTCAAATTCCAAGTTTTGTCCAAGTTAAAGGAATTAGATCGATTCCATTCTTGCAATTTCGCAGTTGGCCTCCATTTCTTCATGCGTCACTTGCCTGAAGTACAATGAGTTGTCCAATCCAATCCAATAGAATCTGAGGCACCAAATGCGTTACAAATCTCCCTCTCCCCATCTCTCCTCTGATGCTCTAACATAATGCTATGGAGGGAGTCAGCATAGAAGAGGTTAAAGACATTATTAGTAGGGTTTAACTGACTATTAAACCAATTCAATAGCATCAACACGAATACAAAGCAATGCAGTGAAAAATTGAGGCAAAACCAATGACTTAGAAAACATTATCTCCTCTCTTTCATTATTTCATTCTACATAGGGCTTGTAAATCAGGTGAAACAGACCTGAATCAAACTCTTACATAGAAAATTAAGTTCCACTCGGAGAAATAGGACGATATATGACACCCGGGATAGTCCTTCCGATTTAAACACTTACTGCAGTTGGTTTGTAATCGATCACAATGACTTTCTCCACATGTGAAAGGAACAAATTTGCAAAGTCAACATGGGCAGGATGAGCTACGTACTCTGCAACACCCTCCGTGCTCTCAAAGGTCGACTCAAAGATATGAGTGAAACCTTGATTCAGGTTCTCAGAGCTCACGTCCTTTCCCCTGATCACAAAAACATGAACCAAATACTTACATCATTAACAGAAACTTGTCTAACTCAGGAGAACGCTAGTTGAATTTACCACTCGTTCGACAGCTTTAAGGGAAGGGGGAATTGCAGCAGTGATGTCCATCTCTTTGATGATAATACTATACGACCTCGTTTGGTCTAGAGGACTGAATTTACGTGTTTGTCCATTCAAATCCAATCCAAGAAGCCAAACGAGGCCTATATTTAATACAAGCAACTCTAGTGTGATATGCCAAATGTGAAAACAGTGAACCTTATCTTACCAATTTGAGTTTTTGGCAAACATATCCACCCAATAAAATTAACTCTTTTCAAGAGAAAAACTGCAACTTTAACCAATAGCTGAAGCGTTAACCCCCTTCAAGCATCAAATTTTGACTAAAGCTGCACCCTTTGGAGAAACGGCAGCTAAATTTTGCCTAAAAATCTAGGATTTGAGGACCCATCAGACTCCCACAGTCAAATCAGCACCAAAAACTCTGTATTGACCAGACTGGGGAAAAGCTAGTCTAAATCAAAGATCAAATTGCAATAAATATCAGGTAAAAAATGCATCAGGATTCAATTCTTTGAATTCCAAGCAGGAACAAGAAGAAGAATTGAAGTTAAACACAAAACATTATCATTTAACAGATATTACAAGTAACTTGGATGATTACCACTTGAAAGATTTCATGGGTTCGATGAGGTTGACGAGGTTGGCGAAATCTTTGATGATTTCTTCGATCTTATTCTCTGCGATTCCGTCTTTGAACTTTGCTAGCACTACATGCATTACCACTCCCTTTGCTTCCTCCATCTCTCTCTCTCTCTCTCTCGCCAAACCTCGTATTGTATTGTACATGTATTGTAAAGAAAACGACGTGTCGTGTGATTGTGTGGACTTAACGTTCTTTTACATTCATGTATTAACATTAGTCACCTACTTAAATTATTCAAATTTCCCTAAATTAGGATGAACATTATATCGTTTCCATAGACAGTTTGACATGTTACATTTGTAGAATATGATCCGAACAATTAAGTATATAGAATTTTATTTGATTATACAGTTAAAATTGCGCCAACGACATGTTTAAACTACACCGACAATATATTTGAACTGCATCAACAATATGTTTGAACTGCGTCAACAATATGTCTGATAAGATCAATTACCTCCAAAATACGAAGGTTTGAGTATTTTGTGACATAATAACTAAAAAACCATGGAAAATTGGGTTTAGTATTGAGGAGGGGTGGACACTAGACAGGTTAAATTGCATAAAAAATGATCCTTGAGAGTGAAGGTATGCAGATTTGGTCTTCATAAGGCCCTTGGTTAGGCCGCACCTTTTTCAATGGCATCATGCAAGCAGTGTAAAATCAGATAGAACACAGTGTTCTGTTACAAAGCTAATGAAGTTCCAATCAGTGCAATAATAGGCATGATTTCGACAGTTCTTGTTCCGATTTATATACCAACTGTAGGTGATTTATACTCAAACACGTAGATTTTGTCCAAATGCGAATCGAAAAGAGTTTGCAAAATCAACATGAGCAGGATGAGCTATGTACTTTGCAACAGCCTCCACGCTCTCAAAGGTAGACTCAAAGACAGGACCAATGAGTCATTCAGACTGAGTTGAAAACTTTCGGTTGCGATGGATTGGAAGAGATAGGAGAATTTGGTTTTAGCGGGCTTAGCTTATCAGCAGGTTCTCAATGCCCACTAGCTTTCCTCAGATTACGAAACATTAACAAACAAAATGGATTGAGAAGTTATGCTACTAATGCTTGACACACAAATTAGCAGCAACTTCTCTGAATTCCTGGAAAACTTTGGTTAAGTGTGGGTGAGAAAATTCTTCAGCCATACACGAACAAAGACGATAAATTTGTGTCAAATAGTCTATAAAAAAAACTAGGGAAGTATTTCGGGTAAAAGATTGACGTTTAAGTCAGATATTCAGCTCTTTGATCTTACATGTATTATCTGCTTAGGATGATACAATCAACTACGTGTGTGATATATTGTCAAGATTTCAAAGAGACGTGTCAGAATATACATTATATTTTATTCTTCAACCTGTTTCAAGCATAAAAATTTCGTCAAATTTGTGCTTTCCCAAAAAAAGGCAGCTAAACTTGCCAAAAGAATTAGCGTTTTGAGGACCCATCAGTTGCTCAAGAACCAATCATATAACTTATATGCTGGGATTTTTGGCCGCTAAATTCTTTGGTTAAGGATTTAATAAACAAGATTTAAAGGACAGAAATATAGGGGTATAGGATATACCGAAACATATATTAGAATTTTCGAGAGTGGAAGAAGTCGGTATTATTGAAAGACTTTATGGGTTCGATGTGATTGACGAGGTTGGCATAGCTTTTGATGAGTTCTTCAATCTTACTCTGCGATTCCTTGTTCGAATTTTGCTAGAAATACATGCTTCACCACTCCCTTTGCTTCCTCCATCTCTCTCTCTCTCTCTCTCTCTCTCTCTCTCTCTCTCTGTGGTTTTTTCCCTTTCTTAGTCAACTGCCAATCATTTCACAATTATTGCAACCATTCCTTGTTTAATTAAGTGAACCTACCAAATGAAATATAAAAATTAATAAACGGTGTATAAAAGTAAAAATAAGTGTGTAGATAACACCACTTACTATTTTATTCGCAAACTCGGTTCACACTACAAACACAACCCATATATATATATATAGAGTATTAATAGGTGTAGTTTCCTACACTATACAAGTTGGTATAGCTATATAGTTCTTACATATAGGTGTGGAACGGCGTCACATTAAACCCCATAACCAGTTGATCAAGCTGCAGATGGTACACTTCTTTGGTCATCATCGTCAGTCCCAGATAATGCGGAATTAAAGGGTGGAAGCTTCACATGCTCCTCAGCCTTCACCACACGACCATCATTCTTGTAATCCAGTGAAGTGTCATCATAAATGTCCCACCACCACTTCACCAGCATCTTTATGTCTTCCCTCTCCATATGCTTTTCCTTTCCTGTGTATCTCCATGGCTTTGATCCCTACATCCCACTCAATTTAATCAAACTTCGGTTTTGCATCATATACTCATACTTATGTTGTTAGATTGTGAATTTAAAGTGTTTATTATGGAAAAATTGGACTAGATAAATGATCCACAATCTCATATGAGAACATTTCCTTCTGAATTATTTAGGCAATCTTTGTATGTGGCTGTAAATTTGAAGTTCTGTTTTGGCAAAAATCAACTTCATCCACCATCAAGATTCACTATCTAATTACATTTCCTCACTCATAACAAAAATTGAATGATATTTAAGTGATCAGTTTAATGATTTATTTTGGTAAATCCAACTTCATGACTGATCGAGATTCATAGTCTAATTAGAGAATATTTCTGTATTCGTAATGAAAATTGAATGATGTTTAATTGATCTATGCATAGATGAGTTACGGTTATAACATACCGCAGCACAGTAATGCACAACCTTCACTTTGTCAAGGTCCACATTCTCAGGGTGGCGCCACAACATAGCCAAAACAAGATTGTATATAGGTGGGATAGGACTGTATATGTCCTTGAAGAACATGTTCAAAAAGTCCTGCATATGATCATCAAAATTAATTTTCAAATCGAATCGATCGCACACAATTATAATTTTTTTCCTTCAAAAAACCCCAAAATGTCTTGCGTTTGTGGCCCAATTAAGTGCAATATCAACACAGAAATATAAACAGATTATCTTGTTACCTGCTCGGCGAACGAGGAAGGAGGGGTAACTTCAAGGGTCTCTAGCAGATCACGGTAAGTTAGAACACAAGGCTCAAAGACAAACATGCCCGCATTGAAGTAAGGTGGTGGTGGTGAACCCAACTCGGCCGGCCACTGCACCTTCTTAGGGCACTGCTGGCAGTATCCAATCTTGTACTGTGGAGACGCACTCCATGTCTTCTCACAAAAGCAATCCATCACAGCATAAAAACTGCCCTCAGGCATGTCGAAAAGGTGATCAATGTTATCAAACACCTGAATGTCTCCATCCAAGTATATCATCTTCTCATACTCCATAAACTACAAGTTGATACACATAATCAAATTAGTTTACACATATGGTAGATAGTTGCATGATTGAAATGCATTTACGACTTGTAAATCATTTAAATTAGGAAAAGTATTCTCTTTTGCCTCACCATACAATTTCATATGTTGCGCTTATAGAATATAATCTGAACCACTAATTATGTAACATTTTGATTAAACATATGGCTTAAACTGCACCAACAATATGTATAAACTAACTGCTTAAACTACACCGACAAATAAACTGACTTCTTAAACTACATCAACAATCTATTTAAATTATATTGATAATATGTTAAATTGTACAAAAGATATGATAAACTGCACCGACAATAAGTTAAATATGCCTAAATTGCACTGACAATACGTTAAATATGCTTAAAATGCAATGACATGCACCCACAACATGTTTAACTGCATCGACAATATGTTTAAATTGCACCGACAATATGTTAAACATGCTTAAACTACATCAACAACATGTTTAAACTCCACCAATAACATGTTTAAACTCTACCAACAACATGTTTAACTGCACCGACAATATGTTAAACATTCTTAAATTGTACTGACTATGTTAAACATGCTTAATTACTTCACCGACAACATGTTAAACATGCTTACTTTACCGACAATCAATTTAAACTACACCGACAACACAATTACACCAACAATTTATTTCATTGCACAAACAAACATGTTTAAGCTGCATATATTTGACGAGAGAATACTACCTCCCAAATACGAAGCTTGGAGTAGTTGATGACATAATAAGCCATGGCAAATTGGGTTTGGTTTTCAGGAGGGTAGACAGGCTCAATTGCATGAACAATGCATCCTTGAGACTGAAGAATCTGAAGGTGGTCCTCAGGAACATCAGGCAGAACAGCCACCACAAGAGGATATGCAGATTTGGCCTTCCTTAGGCCCTTGGCTAGGCCAACTACACCTTTCCAATAGTCTCCATTGCCAGCCAAGAAGGTCACATAGGCCCTCTTTGAACCGTTTGTCTCTGCAGGTGACATATTTGGACAAAAGTTGGGCAAGAGATTACAGAGAATTTGAGAAGATTATTAGAAGTAGAGAACAAGAAAATTAGATGTTGAGGAGTAGTAGTAGTTATCAGTTTATATAGAGGCATGAACGAAAAGCATGTGTATGCGGTGGCATGAATATGGGAGAATTGCCAAGGGTGGAAAGTTTCATTGAAGTAAATGATTCTTCGTAATCTTTCTAAATTTTGCAACAATATGGTGTTATGAATTCATTTTATTGTCTACTATTTTTTTATTACAAACGATATTCTATACCAATCTATTTTAAAGAGTAAGAGAATTTGAAGTCAAGTTGTAATGAGTTAAAGAAAGAAAACCTAACCACTAGGACAGTCCCCTTCTTAATTACTTCGACAACTCATTTTCTAACACATAAACTTGTAACATGACATAACAATAATATATGATGCTTATGAGGCTTAATTTTTCCTGTTTGAGCTCAATACTCAACCCACAACATATTAACGATTTGATATTTGGCAAATACATGATAGTATCAACTATGTATATGTACTGAAAGTCAGTATCCACAGCAGATATTCTTTATGTTCTAACATAAACGACACAAATTGTTATTTATGTTAATTTTTTTAAACAAAACGATAGCGATTTATTGATGATTAGGAAGGAAATTTTCAAATTAAATATCATGAGTGTGATTTGGAGGTACTTCAAACTAAAAAGTCATCTAAAAAAAGCTGACTTGTCCGATCTATTTGTGTCAGACCGTAGGGCATGAGTAATACGAAAACCAGAGAGAAATACAACATGGCATGCAAATTCAGAAGCCATATGTCATGCATGCAAATATCATCAAATAAAACAATTTTCATATATCAAAGAATATTGCTCTTATTAGACGTAAGCATGCACAATCTGTATATACATTTTTTTATCCTCTTTATCTTTTACTTCTCTTTTCTTTGGTGAGAAATGAAATTAAAGCCGATCGTATTTCTGATCCTCGATCGATATAGGATGTACATTGGTTTAAATTATAGAGATTTTCTTGATCTCGGACATTCCTTATTTCCAAGTTAATATATAACACAAATTAAATTTTGTTATTTCTAGCTGAAGCTTCAAAAGATAGTTCAGAATTGTAATGTTTAATTTGTTTCCATTTCCGTCTTAACTCAGAAATTCGTTCATGGCTACTTAATCGAGGAAGATTTTTCTATATGCTACATTTCTGCCTTTCCCGCTGCCTTTCCCTCCCACTCCAATTTTCCTGCCGTAAAACCACTCTTTTGTCTTAGCAGCAATATTTGAGGATTTTCAAGAACAATATGGGGAATCTCTTGATTTAAGAATAAAAAGTACCGTTGATGATGGTGAAGATGTTGTGTGCACAGTTTTGCACCTTATGGTGCTTTTATGGAACCACATGTGAGGAGGAAGAGAGATTCAACTGTTGGTTCTGCAAAACAAATATTTTTTGTGAAATTTTGAATCTGCAGTTTCTGGTGCTTCAGTCCATGTGTTTAATTTTGATTCTGCAGATTTTGGTGTTGCAGTATAGGCTTATGAAATTTCGTTTTCCAGCAAAAGCACTCTTACTTTTGTCTCAGCAACAAAAACATAGTATATAACAGACCAAATATATAAAACATTTCAGAAACAAGGCAGCGCGCCTAAGGCAGATTGGAGGGGGAGGGAAAGGCAGAAAAATTGGGCATTAAAGAAACTTGAGTGTTGTTGGTGATGTGGCGAAATCTAGAACCTTGAATTAACTTGGTATGGAATGAATGGTAGATAAAGTAGGCGGGGATGGAAGGGGATGGAAAGTAAGAGGGGAGACAATCTTGGTCCAATTGAAAGGCCATTAAATATAAATAGGGGAGTGATATTTACACGTCCATTTTTACTTCTCACACACTCTTCTCAATTTTCAGCCGAGTGATCAAAAGAATTTAAGAAAATTAAAGGCTAAAAGTTAACAAAGTATGTGAGAAGTAAAAAAAGTGTGCGAATAGCATTTTCGATAAAACATAGATATGTAATTAGTTTGGGTTACTTTTTGGACATTATATTTACTATAAAGCTAATTTGAATCCCTAATAGTTATTTGAATATTTATTTACAAATAATGGGTGCTTCAAGGTACAGAAGATTTGAAGCGTTACACTCCATCAATTAGTAAGGGGAAAATATATATCCTCATTTCCCTAAAAGTATTTCTTTCTGGTTGATTTGGTAAGAGAATCAAATCTTGTCATTTACAAATATAACAAATGAAAGTAGGTAGCAGAAAACATGATGAAAGCAAAGGAAAAGATAATCGGATTAAGAATAATTTTTTGGTGTTTTGTCTTTGAAGAAGAAATGATGTTCCACACGGTTGAAACACCAAAGTATTCTAACTTATAAGTTAATGGAGCAAGTTGTTAGGTTATGTTAACTTTTTACAAAATGTTTTAGTATCAGTGGTCAGAGCCAGATTAGCCAATGAAGGGTATTATACAAAGATTAGTAACTAAACAGATAAATTTAAGTATTAACACCAAAATAATCCAGTTTCAAACTCTGCATGCAGATGACTTTTTGAAACGTCACGTTCTTTTTTATTCTTTGATTCCTACCATTTCTAACTAAGACACGGAGATACTTCTTTTAGTATTCTGTAAACAAGTGTAAAGGGTGGCATAACATAGTGGGAATCTGCCCAAATAATTCTGATGCAACTTTTCTGGGTGAGGTGTAGGGGTGCAATTTGAGTTGGGTACACTCGGCTTCGCTCATGTTTAACTCGATTTCGAATCCGATCGGATGGGTTAGAATGTAACAAAAATCTGCCCACTCAACCTTAACCCGATTATTTATTGGGGTGGATTGGGTTGATGCTTTGTCCGTCCCATGTCAACCCAAACTCAACCCGACTTATATCCTGAATGTTCATGGAAATATATGTACACATACATACATACATACATACATATATATATATATTCATGTAATAGGTTCAAGTTTGGAAGGACTATACTTGAAGTATGTTGTTTGGTTTTCACTTTAAATGAATGACATTGTTGCTTTTGCATTTTGTTAGTTTATTTAAACTTTGGTATTGCCTTATAATTTAATTTCAACTTTGCATAGTTGAAACTTAGAAATGCGTTTCACATTATTTGGTTTATTTTTGGGTTAAACTCTATTTACTACCCTCATGTTTTGTGGTTTTCAACATTTAGTACATCAAGTTTTTTTCGTCCCAGAATTATACCTAAAGTGTTAGGCACAGTCTCATGCAACCGTTAGTCAAACTGTTAATTCTCTTGTTAAGTGATGATGTGGCACCCAAGTGGACAATGATTGGGCACCACGTGTCATTAAAAATATTAAGATAATTAATTTAAAAAAAAAAAAACCATCCCTTCTCTCCCCCCCCCCCCGCCCCCAATGCAGAAGAAGAAGAAGGAAAAAAAAAAAAAACCAAATCTGCAACCCAGAAGCAGAAGAAGGAAAAAAAAAACCGAATCTGCAACCCAAAAGAAGAAGGAAGAGGAAGAAGAAGAAGAAAAAAAAACAGCAGCCTAAACCCAGTTCATTCCCCCCCCCCCCCCCCGCCGATCCTCCTGCCTTCCTCCCTCGCCCCGCGACTGCGAATGCGAACCCAGACCATGAACTCCGTATTTTTGGGATTTTCAGTGTGGGTGAATTTCGAAAATACTTTGAGATTGGGAGTTTGAGTTTGAGATAATTTTTGGACTAATTTTGTGGTAGATCTCCATTAATGTGGAAATGACTAATTGGGGTTTTTTTTTTCTCCTTCTTCTTCTAGTTCTTCTTCTTTTTTCTTCTTCTTTTTCTTCTTTTGGGTTGGGGGCGGGACTGGGTTTTTATTGTTTGTTTTTTTTTTAAATTAATTATTTTAATATTTTTAATGACACATGGCGCCCAATCATTGTCCACCTGGGCGCCACGTCATCACTTAACGGGAGAATTAACAGTTTGACTAACGGATGTATGAGACTGTCCCAAAATTAACATTTTAGGTATAACTCTGGGATGAAAAAAACTTGATGTACTAAATTTTGAAAACCACGAAACTTGAGGGTAGTAAATAGAGTTTAACCCTTTATCTTTTGTATGGATTGATGTTTAAAATTTGATTTTACATAAAAAATACAAAAAGGTGACGAGATAGAAATACGAAAAAATTCTGTTTGTGTTGTACGTAATCAACAGGAATTATAGTTTATCAAAACTCAGAAGATACGGTTTTTAATAGACAATTTTGACATTTATTTAACTATTGGGTGTGATCTGATTATGTTGTTGATGTTTTCCCTTAAAATAAATTTCTTTTTGGAATATTAGATGATTTCATTAAAAATACCATAAGATAGTACAAGGGATGACTAAAATGAAAATCCAAACTCAATGTGAATGTTAAGAACAAAAGCTGCATCTTATAAAAGATACGTTGTCGGAAGAGTATCAAAGGAAGTAAAAAACCTTCTTGAAAAAAATCACCTAGTACAAAACTTTAGAGTTAGAAAAAGAGGACGCACATGACACAGACTAGAAATTAGAAGAACTCATTTGGAAATGCTACGAAAATGACTGAAATCGCTTTTTAGAAAAAATGTTGTTGGATTCCAAAAGAACTCGAAGTGCTTCTTGCAGGATGCACCTTAAGTGCTTTTCCAGGATTAATTTGCATTTTTACTAAGAACTGGTTCTAAAAACATTTTCAATAAAAATATTGTCAGTCATTTTAAAAATACTTCCAAATGAGTCTGAAAACACCAAGGCTTCTTCTATCCACACTTCACATTGTTGCTCAGTGTTAGCATCATTCTCCTACAACAAAATAATAAAGTAAAATTAGAAATATAGAAAGCACAAAAACATTAAAAACCCAAGTAACCAAAAAAGTTAAAACGACAAAATTAGTGATTCGGATCAAAATAAAGAAAAAACATCCACTTGATAAAATAACTAACCTCTTCGCAAACATTTGGCACATATGATGAGCCTTTTTCTTATCTCAACACGCTATGCA